CCGTGGGCAACCCAGGCGGCGAACGCGGCACTGTGAAGCGGCAGCGGCGGCGGCCGCGGCGGCTCAGGCACTTCCGGTTCCTCGCGACCCGCACTCCGACAGGCAGAGGTGCATCTGGGCCAAGGAGAGCGCTGCTCGCCGCCGAGCACGGTCTGTCGCCACAACACCATCTAGCGGCCGGAGGAGCAAGCAGGCGCGCGAGGGAGACCCGACTGGGCTGTGAGGGGAGGTCGGGAGAGGAGAAACGGAATCCAGAAAAGGGCAGCGGATTGTTGGAAGTCATGTGGCAAAATCGTGATGCGTTTCTGCTCACTCGTTTTGTTTTTATTCAGCAAATAATTATGGAGTGCCTGCTCAGATTTAACAAATGTCCTGTCCATGTGCCGAGCAGAGTGGTAGATGCTGGGATTAGAGCAAGCAGCAATCAGGCAAAAAATCTTTGTCCCTTACTGGAGGTGATTCAGAGACAAGAGACTAGAGCCTAGGAGGTCTGCTGGTTTTATTGTTGCCATGGAAACAAACCTGAATTTGGAATCAGAAACTTACCCCTAATATTATTCATAGTGATCTTCAGCATGCCATTCCATCTCTCTGAGTCATGGTTTCTCTGTCTGTGAAAGGGATATGTCCCTTAACTGTAATTTCAGAAATCCATGCATGTCACACTAGCATATAAAGATAAGGAAACTAGGGCCAGCAGGAAGTGCACATATTGACACGCTTGATTTCACATGACCGACTGGGCAGTTCAGTCCTGGGCCTGGGGGGCTTGAAAAACTTGGGGGGGGAGTGTGTGCCTGCTGTGCCCAAAACTCCCAGAGGAGAATGGAGAAGGGATTGCAGCCTGCCATCCCCTCTATGGGAGTGCCTTCTTACTTTCCCTGTCTCTCTCTTCATCTCTGTCTCTGTCTCTCTCTGGGGAGTACATGGATCCAGGAGAGAGAGGTGAGTGACTCATTCTAATCACATAATCAGATCCCTTGCTGGCAATGAACTTTTCTAGTCTATGCTATTTGCTATCTGAGAGAAGGAGAAAAAGGAAGTCTAGGAAGGTGACTTGAAAAGTCAGAGGTGTGGGACAAAAGAGTGGGAAAGCCAGGCCTCCTTTATTTTCTATTATTACAAAGAGCCCTGTGTCACAGTTGTGTGCCATTAGTGTATTATAACAGCACTAATAAAAGATCCACTTGGGTACCGCTTTCCACTCCGCACTGTGTAATTACTTGCTCTGAGGCTAAGTCAGCCTTTCCCTCAGGCTTCTTCAAAGTTAAGTTCCCTTTTTAAAAAGTACATTTTCTCTGGGTCTCCTTTATGAATTTTTTGCAAATCACTTGAGAGCAGATTTTAAAGTTTGAAATGCACACACACACACACACAGAATCTTGCACTTCATTTCATTCATCCAACAAGTGTTCATTGGATCACGTCCATGTGTCTATCACCATTCTAGTCACTGAGCAAAGTAGACTACTCTGTTCTATGCAGTTTATATCGAAATAAGAGGAGCTAGAACCCCAATTCCAAAAAGCAAACAAAAAATACACAATTTCATGGATTTAAAAAAAGAGCCATGAGAGGTAAAATACTTAAGTCACCTTGCTAATTATAGATTGAACAAATTTTAATTCAGATTTCTTGTTTTTCAGACTGATTTTCTCCCTCTATGGCAGGATTATAAACAAATCTTGGGCCAGCAGGTGGCATGGTGGTTAAGATACTTGATTCCCACAGGGCTGACGGTGGTTCAAATCCCAGACCTGGTGGCTTGGAAATCATGCTGAATTCCAGGAGGAGAATGGAGGGGGAGGGTTAGCAGTGTGGCCATCCTCTTAAGGAGTGATTTCTCATTTTCTCTATCTCTGTCTCCAGTGAGCACACGTGCCCTGTGGCAAAAACCTAAAATAATAATAATAATAATGATAATATACACACATCTGAAACTCTGAGAAGGCTGTAGAGGAATATTTCTGCCACGGTAATCTGACACCCTTGCAACCTTACAGGTATCCTATGAGGATAGGCCAAGGCTTGAACCAAAGCTTCTCAGAGTCTCTGCAGATCATGTAGCAATCTTCCCAGGAGAGGAGAGGAGGGGAGGCTACGCGGAGCTCTCCTCTCCCAGTTTCTGACGGCTGTGGGGCCTTCTCCCACCCCTTTCCGAACTGTGCTGCAGAGCAGGACACAGCAGCAGCAGCCTCCATGGGCTCCTCGCCCATGGGTGTCCCGCAGCTCACCTTCACGGAGATCTGGCTCCTTTTGGCGTGTGGGACAAGCGCGCCCTTCCTTCTGTTGTCTATGAACGAAATAAACGATGTTTTTCCGGCTCACCTGTCAGGCCTTGGCCTTGCCTTCTTGCACGCGTCCTTGACAAAGCCCCACGTGCTCTGTGCTGCCCTGCACTCTAGGTGCACGTCAGAAAAAGGCAAGCTCTTTGGGACCAGTAGATGGTGAAATGGCTACGTCGCTGGACTTCCCCGGAGTTGACAGAGGTTCAAGTTCCGGACCTGGTGGCTTAAAACACTCACGTTGGGCGTGTGTGCCCTTGTGCCCAAGATCCCGAGAGGAGAATGGAGAAGAAGCATTGCGGCATGGCCATGTCCCTGAAGGTGATTTCTTGCTTTCTGTCTGTCTGTTTGGCTAGCGCATGCACCCTATAGCAAAAATCTCTCAGACAGACAAACAAGAAAAGAAAAGGCAAGCTATCTGCCATCTGAGAGATGAACAAGACAGCATGCCAGGGTGTCAGGGAGTGGTGCAGAGCCATCGTTTCTAGCACAGGGCGTTGTCATCCACAGAGATGGCTTTTGTAACATGCTTCTGAAGCACCTCGTGTTAGGTGCTACACAGTGCCAAAAGAGGCTGTCTGAGTGGGGAGGCTGATATCTAAGCATGAAAGCATGAGCCGTAGCATGAAGTGCTCACACAGCTGCCGATTACAGGGTACAGGGGCTACACTTTGCTTCTCTGCTTCCCCTCACACTTTGCCCCGTTTCAGAGCATAGGACAAACCAAACCGTATTCACCAAAAAGAGCTTCTCCTCTTGGAACCAGTAGGTGGTGCAATGATTAGTTGCTGGACTCCCACATGGCTGACTGTGGTTCCAGTCCCGGACCCAGAGGCTTGAAACTCACGCCAGGTGTGTGTGCGTGTCCAAAGCCCTGAGAAAAGAATGGAGGGGAAAATGGAGGAGAAGGGATTGAAGTGTGCCCACACTCCCTGGGGATGATTTCTCACTGTCTGCCTCTTTCTACTTCTCTGGCAAGCACATGTGTCCTATAACAAAAATCTGTCTTAAAAAGAAAAAAAATATATATATAAGACCAGAGGTGGTGTAGAGATTAAGGTGCTGAAACATGGCCAAATGGGTGGTTCAAGTCCCAGCAGCTTGAAAAACATGATGGGGACACGTGTGTGCATGCCCAGAGTCATGAGAGGAGAATGCAAGGAAAAAGATTGCGCATGGCCACCCCCCCCCCCCGGGTGCTTTGTCACTCTCCTTCTGTCTCTCTATCTCTGTAATGAGCACATGTACTCTACAGCAAAATTTACCGCACACACAAAAAATGTTTTTTAAAGTTTCTTTCTTCCCTTTAAGACAGGTACTTTTTTTTTCCTTTTTTTTTTTTTTTTAGATTCTTGCTATAGGGTGTGTGCAATTGCTGGAGAGACAGAGACAGAAAGTGAGAAATGACCCCCTGGGGGGATGACCAGGTCACAATTCCATCGCCTCCATTCTCCTTTTGGGATTTTGGGCACGCACACACATGTGCTCGGCATGTGTTTAAGCTGCTGTGTCTAGGACTCGAACTGCAGTTAACTACGTGGCAGCCCAGAGACATAACCATTACACCATACGGTGGTCCTGAGAAAGGTATTTTATTTTTAAAGAATTATTAAATTAAATTAAATTATTTATTTAAATTTGACCAGAAAGTGGGGGAGAGAGAAAGAGAGAGACAGAGAGAGAGAGAATAAGAAAGCAAACCACCAGGTCCAGGACTTGAACTATAGTTGACCATGTGGGAGTCAAGCACCCTTCACCACCCATGCCACCTGCCAGCCCCAGTTCAAGAATTATTTTATTTTAACTTTATTTATTTATTTTAATTTGATCAGTGAGGGACAGAGCGAGAGTGAGAGAGAGAAAGTGAGACAGCAAGCTGCCAGGTCTGGGACTTGAACCCCAGTCAGCCATGTGGGAGACCAGCACCCTTAACCACCACACCACCTACCTGCCAGTTGTCCTCCCCCCTAGACAGGTACTCTTAATAGGGCCTTCTATGCAACAATCTCTTGCCACTCTCACCCTCTTACCACACACACACACACACACACACACACACACACACACACACACACAAGCCTTCCAGCCCGTGAAGATCACAGGTGCACCCAGCATGTGCAGGTTGACCTATCTTCCCTTCTGGCTCCAGAACCATGCAGCAGGCACCACACAGCCTGCACCACGAGGGTGGGCCCACATGTAAGCCTTTCAGTCAGCAATGCTGCTGCATGGTTCAAATTTCCCAAGTATAAATGAGCACATAGTGACAATTTTTCTATCATCCTGGCCCTCCAGACAGTCTTCTTCTCCCCTAAGAAATGACTTATTCCCTTTTGCATGTACTTCTAGTGCTATATTATGACACACAAACACATGTATATATGTGGGTACTCTACTTCCCGCTACTCCACTATTTCTACACAGATGGTAACATACTCACCAGTGCTGCACCTTGCAACCAGGTAGACAGAACAGAGAACCAGGAATTAGCAGCTGGGTCAAACTGAACACAGTAGAAAGGTCACTTCCCCATACCCCAGGCAGGCTCTGGAAGGAGGTGCTTGAGCCACAGGTGGGGACATTTTTGCACATTCTGGACTGTGGATTGACTTACAGAAGGGAAGGATTTTTCCTGGCAATGACTGATTGTAATTGCTCTCCCTGGAATAAGTAGGAGGCTGTGAAAAGATGACCTGACT